TGCTGAGTTCTGCTTGCTTGTCCTTCACAGACATACGGAAAATCCCAAATCTGAGGAGGTCGTCCGCACAATACCTGCTCCCAAAGTCTTACGTGGAGATGTTGTCCCGACATCCGGAGACTGTGCAGGCCTACGTTCGCCGCGGAACCAGGACATCTGTCTCCCCCCGTACTCTGATTGAGAACCTGGATCGCCTTTGTATTGAGCTCAATGAAGGTAGGATCTCCCCATTTGTATTACCTGCACCTTGTACACTAAAGCCTGCTAGACACGCCGCCTGCACTATCCGGCCCTCAGGACCCAGACGACATCGAGATTTCTCCGCAAGGCGATGGTTGCAATACAGTGTCCGATACCGGCACTACCGAACAGGATCTCATTTGTCCCGCCTCTATGTCAGATCTCTCTTCCGGTAGTCTAGGATTGGACGCTCCTTCGCTTTCACGTCGTCGTCAGGCCACCAACAAACCGACGTTAGACTGCCATTTACCGCTTCCGCCCACTCCAGCCTTTGATAATCCCAAATTGCCTGTCGTCGCCGCTAACGTTTCCGATTTCCCTCTCGTCAACAAGCGTGGTAGAGCGCCGGTGGCGAAACTTGCGATCGACGATGCCCTCTCTTCTAGAAATGATGATATGCCCATTACACCTGCCGACCAAATAGCCCACGCAAAGCACACTCCTCCCAACGCACCTCGTCAAACCGTGAATAGAGTCCGCCACGCTTCACTGCTGACTTCTCCGTTATCCAGCAACGTTCAAGACGATAGCAGGGATATCACTTCGCCATACCCGTTTACTCCTTTGAATGACAAGTCAATCCATTCCCCAAAGGTAGCAATGCAAGCGTTTCCTTCTGAATGTACAACTCCCGAGCCAGTTGGCGATACCTACGCATCCGGGCCCAGTCCTTTTGAACCTCGTTTCTCCACTAGTGCAACCCCCAGCGGCGCGAAACCCTTACACAGAGCGCCGCAATATCTGTCGCTCCACGACGCTGCCTTGCCAACTCCGTCTCCTCTCTCCCTGGATACTGCCCAGTCCTCCCACGAACTGGCATCCCCTGTGGCCTTGCTTCCCCCTCGTTCCGTAAGGCTTGCACGTGTCGCAAATGCCTTGCGCTCCCCAATTATGCGCGTTGATTCTCCGGGCTACTTCAATATCTAAGTCTCCTGGACTGATTATCGCCACCGTATTCATCCGAACCTCTCCATTCGAAGACAGATCGCTGTTAGACCACGCATGCACGAATCCGTGTGTTTGCCCTCGCCTCAGATTATAGCACCACTGCCTCGTGCCATCCTTGTCTTTGTCCCCATTGCGTGGCTTCCCATTGTATCGAACGTATCGAATAATATGTATAGTGTAGAACAGCATGTCATTGCATATGTGGCATCAGTTCCGAGACGCGCTCCCAGACACCGAATCTTAGACTGTCAAACCAACCAACCAAACAAACCTACTCCGCTCTTCTACCTCCCACCACTGTCGTCACCGTACAGGCTTGACAAGGCCCCGCACGTTGCGGCATCCAACGCACTTGCCTCTAGGGTTCCCGCTGCCCTCATTACGACCGCATTTACCGCAACGACTAACGACCGGCGCACGAGTTAACACGAAGTTGTAGGAGAGCGATTATAGGATGGGGAACGTCATGTCCGCGAGAAAGACAGATGTTACGGTGACTGTAGGCAGCAGGGTACGTTGCGTGCCTCGTGTACGACCTCTTTGGGGTGGTGTCGTCCGTGCTTGTGCTGAATATCATCGCGACAGAGGAAGATCATCACCAGGAAGGAGCTGAGAAAGGTACGTGTCCACCCACATCTTATCCCTCATAGCGAAAGCTAGCTCACGCCCTTGGTAGTACTCATGGCTCCCTGATGTCCTCAGGCTCAAAGGCAGTGTGCGTCGCGCTCTCCACTTCTCTTTCTGACCGCCTAACGGGGTTGAGCTGCTGCACAGATCGTGCCCAGGATACTCGGTCCTGTCTTGACGGTGACACTGTTCGCAACCGCCGCGGCGTACGTGTGGCACAGGGGGACGAATATCGTGCTCTCGAACTCAGTCATCCCGCTGTTCTCTGTGGTTGTACGTTCCGCTTGCCCATTCGTTGCGTTCAGGGCTCAGAGTGTCACTCCGCCAGGTTGGAATGATTCTTGTCTTTAGGTAAGTCTGCTTTAGTCAGGGTGGCTCTGCCAATGCTAATACTTATATCTGCAGGAATGGGTACGTCGAACTGCAAGTCATCACAGTCACCTTCATCCAAGCTGCACCTCGCTCAGAACCTCATATGACCGGTACTACGAAGGCAGAAAGGATTTCCAATCAATGATCTCTCACGTCAGTACTCACACCACTCTGACCCGCATCTTGCAGCTCACATCATCCCAGATTCGGAATCTCTCCCGTCTCATATGGGTCAATGTCGCTGTGCCGCCGACAGACGATAAGGGCAAGCTATCCAGCGCAACGCTCACCGCGCAACAACTCCGGCGGAAGAAGGTCGCGGCGCTGAAGCTCTGCGTGTGCTACGCGTTTGCCGTGAAGCACTACTTGCGCGGCGAAGATGGGCTTGACTGGGAGGACTACACAGGCCTCCTCCCACCGTCCGTCGCGCGCCTCGCGCAGCCTGGCGGGTCGCGCCGCGCGTCGCTGTGGGTATCGTACGCCGCGATCGAACGCACGTCGCCCGAGGAGTCGGCCACAGTGAGCGGAGACGAGGGCGACGCCGAACGTGCAAGCGTGTTGCAGAGCCGTCAGGGCAGCACGAACGTCGGCGCGGAGATTCGTCGGGATGGCGTCGACGCGACGAAGCGCATACGCGTGAAGCGGAGTAAGGATAGGTTGAAGCAGCCCGGTGTAAAGTCATCCTCGACCCCACTGCTGAGTGGGCTGCACCAGACCATCGACTTCCACCCGGACCCTGACAGCTTGACGACGCCGCTACCGCTCGTGTAAGTAGGCTGTATGCGCATGGTTCGGAACAATGCTGACGAGAACGTCAGTATCACGCATGAGCTAGGTCGCATTATTTTCCACTTCAAGCGTGACGGATACCTCGAAACGATGGGTCCTGCAGGCACAAATGCCATGAACCAGCTGTAAGTGTCCTCTGTCGACTCCGACCTTCGCTCTATTCCTGATCGTATACGCGTAGTGTACAAGGCATGGTCGACGCCCTCAGCAACATGGAACGTGTCGCGAACACACCTATACCCCGATCCTACAGCATACATCTAAAACAGACCGTTACGTTATACCTTTTCGCACTCCCTTTCACCCTGATTCAAGATCTCGGCTGGGGCATGATTCCACTCGTGACTATCATTGCATTCACACTCATGGGCATTGAAGGTATCGCGGACGAGATTGAGATGCCATTCGGTGAGCGGTCGTCTGTCACTATCCATCAGATGCTGATGGTCGCCGTAGGACTCGACAAATTTGACTTGCCCCTGGAGCGGTATTGCGAGGACCTGAAGGAAGAGATCGAATATGTTGTCGAGAGGCTTCCGGAGGGCGGCGAGGGCATGTATGGGTATGATGATGGTCTGGGCGATGATTGAGCTTCGAGGACTGAGTCTGGAACACACCATTCATAAGCGAGGTTTTTGGATATTTTCACCATCTTAGCAGATATCATATCGTATACCCTCATGTCACACTCTTCACATAAACAGTCCATATCAATTACCAGGGTCATAGTGCAATGTCTATTTAGCTGAACTCTGGTGTGCAGAACTCGCCAGGACCGTATGGCTGAACAGACCAGCTTAGAAACCAGAAAACTATCAAAACATAGGGGGCGCACCTTGGATGCAAGAGCAGTGAGACCAGCCGAGTTTTCGCTGGTGTGTCGACCGCTTTGAGGGCCAGGTTTTGGCTTATCGCCCTTCTTGAAAGCGTCCAATACTTTCTTTGTTGTTTCTGATGTCAAATCCTCCTGTGGTTATTGCGGAACCGTGTCAGTATGGAGAGACTTGCCAAGGGAGACGCAGACGCACGTAGAAGTCATCACCAACGACCATCATGGGCGCATTGCTGCACGCGCCCTGGCACTCGACTTCAATCACGGTGAACTTGCCGTCCTTGGTGGTTTCGCCGGGCTTGATGCCGCCGAGGTCTTTGCAGACGGTGTCGAGGATATTGTACGCGCCACGGAGCATGCATGGCGTTGTCGTACACACCTGCACGAAGTTCTCGCCGATTGGTTCACTAGTCATGTGCGCGCACCACATCAGGCTCCATTGCCTACGGAAAACAAGCAACGAGCGGGAGGCAAGCGCACCGGTTGAACATGGTGTAGAACGTTGCTACCTCGTACACACGCATTGGCGGCATCTCCAGGAGCTTAGCGACGTAGTTCATGACGCTAATGCTCGTCCAACCCTTGTTCTGGCGCTGGCCGAGGTCAAGCAGCGGGATGACGGCGGCCTTCTTGTACTGTGGCGGGTATCGCGAGATGATTTCTTCGGCGCGCTTGAGGTTGCCGGGGGTGAATTGGAACGGTATCTGCAAGCACTGTAAGATGTCCTGTGCTGGCCATAACTCTTCGCGCTGTATACCTTGGGGTTGTTATAAGGAGTGTCACGGTGCTGCAAAGACGGCCGCATAAGTATGGCCTCCGCACGAACGTATGCGGACTGTACATACAACGAACAGCGCGTCCGACTTGCGTGCTGGAGTGGTGCATATCCTCCGTGCGCCCCGCGCAGCCTTCAGAGTCCTGGCGAGTCGTGCGGCGAGCATGTCGCGAGTAGGAAGCAGAGACGGTGGTGAAGCTGGCGAAGCGTGAAGGCACGGGTCGTCCGGAAGCGCCGGGCTCTGCGCGTGGGAATCTACAGTAATCTGTCCATTCTAGCCCATACTCGGGCGTTCCGAAGAAACATAGGCTCAAGCGACCACTTGGACCGAAGAGTCTTCCGATTATAGGCAATATCTTTGATATGCCCAAGGCTCGCGAATGGCTTACGTATGCAAGGTGGAGTCGCGAGTACGGTACGGTCACATCTTCTTGCAGGCTCAGATCGTCCACCTCCGCGTGTTCAACACATCAATCTTCGTTCTCAGCTCTACCAAACCTGTCAACGATCTGCTATGCAAGCGTTCGTCCATCTATTCTGACAGGTTTTCGAAACGTCATGCACTAAGTTCTGCAAAAAGCTTATCAACTATTGTAGGGGAGAGTCGGTCATGGTCAACTTGTAACCGCTCCCCTTCTGCCTTCACGTATACCATTGTTCATGTCAAAACTCAGGACAGGCCTTCAAAGGCATTTGACCTTTGCCAGACACGGGGATGACTGGAAGGAACGTACTTGTATCTTTCAGCAACATCTGAGCAACAGCAGTATGCTGCCGCATCGGCCGAGGTTTCTCAGAGGCACACAAACTCCTACATGATCTCCTTGTCTGGCCAAAAGACTTCATGCAACACACCAGAAAGTAGGTATTCGGTATCCCGCATCTTAGCCCGCACCTTAGCTGGCACCTAACCTTGGTCTAGTCTCACCGGAGCCTCAATTTTAGGCATCACCTACGGCATCGAGGTGCGCCCAGACAATGATCCCTATGTACAGGCAGTATGGAATGTATGTCGCGAGTAACCAACATCGGTACATATGCAGGTGCGTCATCCTTGTTCTATTTAATTGCATACAAGCTGAGCCCTAGAATAGTTCGTTTTCTTCCATTCCGTGAGTGTCTACCAAGCATTCTGCTGCCATGCTGCACGGTTCGTCACAGTTCGCCATCTGCCCACATGGGCACCCGGCGCCCAATTTCAAACGCGACGCTGCCGAGTGGTATAACACGGTTTCTGTGATGTTCGATGCTTCATATTCGTACGTTGAGCAAAGCTTGGTATGTAATCCATATGTTGCATTTGCTCTGTATTTACGCGCCACACAGGCGGCTGGAAACGCAAATACCTCGATCGTGGCCTCACTCCTACAAAACCTCGACGATAATGACAATCAGCCTGAAGAAGAAGTCATCATTCGTGAAGCTTTTGGAGCCGCATACAGCGGTGAGTACGTGCGTGTGTGCGGAAGGCCAAGCTGCTAAGGAGCGCACTCAAATATGCAGCCGGAGTAGACACGGTCAGACAGTGGCTTTACTATCCTGGCCTGGTCTGACAACGCCGCCCTTAGACGTATTCTTCAATAAACATATTCATCCTCGCTATGCTCAAATTTCCAGATGTGCAACGAAAGGCCCAACAAGAGCTAGATCGTATCGTCGGGCTGGGGCGTCTTCCTGACTTCGAGGACCGCGGTTCTCTCCCTTATATAACGGCAGTCCTGCGTGAGACTCTTTGGTGCGTCCCTCTTTGTATATTTATCTCGTCAGCTAGCTGAGCTTATTCACAGCTGGGTACCGATTGCACCGCTTGGTAGGCATGCCAATGGCCAACACAGTCCATGCTGCTGATGATGCCGTGCCAGCGGCTCCGCACCGGCTCACAGTTAACAATGTGTACGAAGGGTTTCATTTTCCCGCAGGCTCTCTTTTCATAGGCAACGCCTGGTAAACCATCCGACATGTCGCGGAGACCTTCCCTTCACCAAGTCTGTCGCTCGGCAGGGCCATTCTACATGACGAGACCAGATATCCCAACCCAGAAGCGTTCGTCCCCGAGCGGTTCCCGACTCCTGAGGGCGAGCTCGACAGTAACGCCCCAGATCCGAGGGAGGCATGCTTCGGATATGGTAAACGGATGTGTCCTGAACGCCACTTTGCCCTAGAGTCGGTGTGGATTGCCATTGCAAGTCTTCTTGCGGTCTATAACATTGAGAAGGCGGTGGACGAGCTCGGAAGGGTCGTAGAACCCAGTGGAGAATACATATCTGGAGCGCTCTGGTATGTAACCCGTATATCTGAGAGCTCGTGCTCCGTTGTCAGCTACCCGTTGCCATTCGACGCCAGCTTCAAGCCTCGCCACGTAAATGCTACAGCATTGATTCAATAATCTGTGTCTGACAAGATTTTACATGAGAGATGAACGCGGACTCAAATTGAGTACAGTATGTGTCTGGTCTTTGGAAATTTAATGATGGGCGAGAAGTCAAACAACTGCTGCAAAATATTCCGTGCCGGTCATGACGCATGAGTCTTCACTCTGTGTACCTCGTGTAGGCTGTGCGTAGTACAATAGAAAAGTGCGTCCGACCTGCGTGCCAATGTGATGCACTTCGTGCGTTCTGCGCAGCCTTGAGAGTCTTTTAGAGTGGTGCAACAAACATATCACGAGCAGGGAGCGGAGGCGAAAGCGATACAGGCAATGGTGAACTTTGAAGCTTTTGAAGAGTCGTCGGGAGCGCCAACCATCTACACACATAATATTACTACTCAGATGGAGGGAAAGAAGGGAAAATTCGCTCTGTTCAATAGCGGGAGGTCGCGTTTATAGTACATTAGAGCCAGTGCTATCCTCTGCTGTTCTCTCAGCCAGAGGGCCATCGAAAGTTCAGAGGAGAGAGCTCAGAGCGGAAGGTCGGACATGTTAAAACATGGGCATGAAGAAGAGCAAACGTCGATAAAATCAAGACAATACGTGTGTAAAGAAAAAGAAAAAGATAAAAAGGAGTGATCCTGCTTGGGAAGAGAAGGATAGATAAGCATGGGCTTCGGGGAAGGTGCGCCGTTCGACAGGTAATGTCTTGATACACTCGCCACCAGCAGTGGTATAATTTGCGTGCGTGTTCGTGCCGCCCTCAGGTCGCAGAGGCCACCGCCGGCTTGGCGGTGTCCGCTTATGTCTTGTCTCGTGGGTCTCATCTCCATCCACCGTCTACGTACGCGCAGAGCGAACCAAACTTGAGAATGGTGGTAGCGGGGACAGCAAGAACGATGCTGCAGGAAGAAGGGCAAGTAAAGTAGACGCAATGAAGGGAGAAGAATAACGAGAACCGAATATGGTTATGATCTGCCACCGCGCCATCCGAGCTGCTGTTGACGCACGGTGAGGCGTGACGCTAGCTGGGTGGTGATGGATGTTTTGCCGAAGGGCTCTGCAAATGAGAATGGACCAAGAGTTAAATAAAAAAATAAAAAGGTGGGAATTAAAACTAGGATGGGATTTCGGTGCGATGACTAGATTTTCTCTCCGTGTCAGCCTCTATCGTGCAACCTCCACAGAACCACTGGCTGTCCTGCTCACAGCCCCTCCGAGGCATATGCCTCGCTCATGACGCTATTGAGCCGAACTGTCCTCGGGACTGTTGGGGTTGTCGTGGTCAGCCCATCAATTGAGAAATATATCCTCCACAAATCGTGAATGCATCGGACGATATGGGGTGGCACGCCCGAGTCGAGTGGCTACAGTATTGTATGAATGAAATGCGGAATCACGAATTAACGGGGAGACATACCCGGACTTGACTCCACGTTAAGTACACTTCCCGCTCCGATGGACGCCAGGGCGAAAAGCTATCAAGGAATTCTCGAGGCTTTATACCATTCAAGTTGGTGGCCAGATCGGCTATGAGTTCGAAGGGGAAGTCGAGGAAATTGGCGGATGCTTGCGCGTGCCTAAAATGATAAGCCCAGTGGCTCATCGCATATCTTGTATGCCTGGGCTGCGACATTGATTGATACTTCGCCCCAGCCTCCGTAGCACCGACGGCTACCTCCAGGCAACGGCGCAGCAGCATAGTGTGATGTTCTGCCGCATCAATGGCAAAATTTGGATCCGGACACCGCTTAGGCGACAGGAGAAAGTCGGGAAATGTTGGATGAATGATGTGAATGGCCGCATTTCCCGCGCCTTTGTTCGAAATCTCGGGAAGAGATAAAACTGAGCGAAGGGGAGCAACACATTGGTTGTAGATATCGGATTTGTGGACGTCGATGAGGGGCGCAAGCGCTTCTGCAGAAAGGGGTTCCTGGAGGAGCACGATCGTGCCAAGAATGAGACGAAGCCGCGCCGAAAGCTCAGACGACATGTTGCGAAAGACTGAGGCAAGAATCCTAAGGTAGAGTTCATCAAGCAGCGATTGTGAAGGATGGACGTTCGCAGGGGCCATGGTCTCAGATGCAGTCAGTTTCTGCAGCCTCGCCTTTGGATCGCGGAAGGCATCATCTCCAACGAATTTTACGGCAGTAAAAGCGTAGATGAAGGAGCGACCGGCAAGATGGGCTAACTGCACCACGTCGTCCTCGTGCGGCCAAACCTCCACCTTCTCCACGCCATTCTCGGGAGGCAAAGCCTTTTCATGCAGACGATACTGTTTCCTCAGCGACGAAAGTTCGCTACGGACGTATCGTGTGATGTCCTGCTGAGCGGCGGGCTCAGAGATATCATTGAGGTTGAACTCCTCCCAGGCACCTTGGGCAGCGCAGTCGGCGAAACAGCGATGAATATGGTGCTCGGGGAGACTGGTGATGAAAAAACGAAGAGGCTTGAATTCCTCCGTCTTATCCAAGATGGCCTCGAGGAGGTCCGACACAGCCTGCGTATCTTCACACTCGTCCAATGCGTCTATCACCACGACGAGAGGAGGTAGAGAGGGATAGGAGGCTTGAATAGGAGTTATTATGAGATCTTGGAGCTGGCGTTTCACGTCCGCCCCAACACCGGATGGGTTCCTCTGCAGGATCTGCGAAAGAGATTTATGGAACGCGGGGATACGAGCCTGGAGTTGGTACGCAATGGATGGAAGAATGCATCTAACGTCTTTGCTGGACGCTGCATTTCGAGAACAGAAGAAGGTCGCGCCGAGGATCTCTGCTGCACTCCACCTGTCGCAAATAGTGCTGGCGAGTGTGCTTTTCCCTGAGCCTGTGAATCCATTAAGCCAGAGGACAGGGCGGGACTGTGTAGTCGAGAGAGGCAGGTTATCTTTGGGTGCGATACCTGTTGGTGTGTAGCCTGATCTCATCCCCTGCAACGATCTGCTGGCCCAGTCTTCGATACAGCGGAGCACATCCCCGCAGGTACCATCTAGGCAACGCGGTCTTCGTATACTATCGTAGTAGACGTCTTTCGCTACATAGCGGAGCAGCTCTGTAAAAATGTCATGGTTACTATTCATATGATCCTCCTTGCGATGTCCGGAAATCCACTACCTTGTAAAACTGTGGCAGAAGCGATCGCAGAGATATTGACTGCCGCATTCTGAAATTGTTTAAGAACATGTACTGGAAGATGATGCTAGGAGGACGCTACCTCGACGACTACCCATTGAGAGACACTGCTGCGAAGCTGACCGCGCACATAAGCTTGATAGAAGTAATGGTGTTAGGACAAATGCGCCTACCAGGAAAGCGTCAATAGATTCACTGAACCGTGTCGCAAGAGCATTGATCTTGGCTGAGTCGTGGCTGGAACGGAAGACTCGGTGTAGCCATGACTTCTTCGGTATCGAATTTGCGTCTTCCGCAATCTTTTTCCAGCAGCTATCCATAATACATTAGATATGTTCCTCAATATTGTCAGTTGCTTGAACGATCTCACTCAAACGTATCTATCATTTGATCCCGAAGTTGTCTTGGAACTTGGTCTGAAGGTATTTGACGAACTTCTTTGAGCACGGCCTTGAAGGCATCAATACGCTCTGTCAGCGACTTTGCATCGTCAATGTTCGTCTGCGCACGCTACGTCGCTCCATCAGACTCATGGTCGAAGTGGAAAGCGGAGGGCATCGTACCTTGATCTTTGCCAGAATCCCTGCCAGTGCCGTCAATCCGCTTTGCAGGCCGGGAACACCAGTGTCTCCTGCGACATCTGCAGCCATTTCCAAAGCTTCCTGCAATCCTGACAGGGCAGCGTCCGCGACTTTGGCGAGTTGAACTCTCGCGCTGTGGTGGTGCGTTTGCTCATTTTTTGGCCACATCGTATGTGGGCTCTGCGTCGTCTATATCCCTAGTCTTGTCGTGAGCAAAGTGAAGGAGGAATGCTTTGGAAATCCCACAGTTGTCACTACCATGCATACGGAACCCACGTTGGTGAGCCATGAGAGACGCCGTGCTGACCGCCCATAAGTCGACCGTCAGACCCATAAATAAATAAATCTTCCCTTGTATACGCTCTTCGCTGACCGTACTAACTATCTCATGCGCCAATAATAAAGCGCATATTTGGAAACAGAAACTGAGGATGCAAACATTCAAGAGCTTCATCACGTATAATAAGTAGATAACCAGATAGCGTAAACCGGCCAATCACACTGGACAGCGCTTTGGGACGAGAAGTGATTCAAGCTAGAGCATGCCCAGCGAGATCTCGTGGCGAGTCAAGTCAACATAATAGGGTGAGCACGCTGCGGCGAACGATACCCTGTCTCGATAGACATAGGAGAGCATGGCTTTGAGTTGCTCGACTGCCTCCCGTGCCTCCGTGGAAGGGTCGATCGGGTTAGCGTACTCTCGAAGGTCGACGGTGATTTCAAGGCTATATAGGCGAGGATATCGAGCGAGGAGCTCCTCGATAGCGCGCATAAATGAGTCGGATTTGATGTGCTCGACAACAGATGGATAAAATCGTAAGACGATGCGGAAGTGGCGGAGATCGGACGGAAGATGAGGCGTCAAGTAGAAGAAAAGCAGTAACCCCGGCTCCTCCTGAACAACGACAGGTCAGCCTAGTAACTCGGGTGTACATTGCCACCACACACCACATCAGAATCCTCGAAGACATGGAGAGTTCGTAGTTGCCAAAAGTCTGCCAAGGCAGAAAAGAGCACCTTCGGGTGCACGCTGTATGCTGGAGGGGCACGAACAGCGGATCAGTGGATTGTACATAGGAAGGTTTATTGTCGCGTACGGTTCTTTGCCCACCGGTTTGTGAGTTCCAGCGTTACTTCGACAGCCTCTCTACCGACGGTGCATAGAAGATGCCGCAGCGCCTTGTACTCGAGAGACACCACTACATTGTAGAGTTCAATGCGATCGACTGGATACTGGGTGTCTATAACTGCGGAAAGGAGCCCCGCTAGAGCAGGGTGGCAGCGAGTAAATTGCAGGGTCCGTACCGCCAATCGAGAAGGAGAATTTTTCGACAGCTGAAAAGTGGGAACGTTGGCGCAAAATATGTTCTCCAGGGTAAGTTCGGTGACTTTGGTGAAGAACGTAAGACATTGGAGAACGGCATCGATGTCGAGCGAAGACAGAGTGAGGTCCTGGATTGACAAGATAGCAGTCGGATCAGGCCTTGCCTGACGATTCCGTCTGCGCAGGGATGGTCCCGTGTTCCCTCGACGATTACGAATGCGTAGCTTGACGAGGCTGCGCAAGCTCAAGATTATGGTCTCCAGGTCCTCGATGGACGCAGATCGAGAGACATCGCAGTTGTCGAGGTCGATATTCAATGACACAATGGCCAGAGAGAGCCTATAGGAGCCCTTCACGGCCGACGCAAAGGCCGGCACAGTGCGGCTCCTATTCCCAACCGTAAGCTGCCCAAACAGGACTCGCGAACTGCCAGCTTCCAGTCTCGGGATTAAGGTGAGTGCGAAGAGGTCTTTCGCGACTTGTGCATCCTTGCGAAGAATGAGTTGTCCTTCCGGGCCCCTTAACGGAGCCACGACGTGATCGACGATTCTATCAATAAGCTCTTGTGGTAATGCCAATGAGTCCATCCGCTGCGACGACGGTCCTGAGTCAGCATTTCTCTCGCCCGTTGGATTGATGAGCGAACCGCGTTATACTGCCACGTAGGCACAGTAACAGATCGGTTCGTTCAGTCAGGTATATCCTATGCGCTATTGGTGGGATGGGGTGGGAGTACAAGAATTGAAGTTCACCAACTGAAGTTGTCACTGGTCCCTCACTTAAGTGAAATTGTTGTAACTTATCACTTTCAATAAGCAGCGACCATAAGGTCGCGATTAAATAGTGTAAGCAGCCGTTTCTTATTACGGCGTCTAATTACAAGCAACCGTAAGCATACAGGCCTTATACACCGCGGCACCACATTTCATGCACTGTACCGCGGCGAACTGTTCGTAGCTTGGCCCATGACGCTCAAATTGAGCCCGTTCATGCAGTTCATGGCCTCTCGGTAACCATGACGTGAACAGTTGGCCATGTTCGCACAATAGTCCCTTTCTAACATCACGACCTGTGGAGAACACCCTATTGGGACCGTTGCCATTAATTTACCCGGACCTGAGGGCAAGCGTCGTTTGTATGGACGTTTGTATGTATGCTATTAATCGTTTGTTGATCGCACTAACTTCCGACCGTTTCATCCCGTAGCACGAAATCTGAGGAGCACGGCCCCCGGGTGGCACAAGATAACTTAGCCATCAAGCTGCCCAGGATCAGGGCGTCCGCTGTTTTGCTCGTGCGAAATCATCACGTTTATGGCACAGAACTCTTGTTCTCCATTCATTCTTAATGTCCCAAACGTGCGTGCCCTTTGCACCTCGAGACCCACACTTGCACACCCCACCCCCCCC